TTTCCTAGTTCTTGCCCTTCTGCTCCCCACAACTCCATTCTCCAGAGTAGCCATGGTGACATCTTGAAGTGTAGATCATGTCGTATTACTCCTTGCTTAAAAGTCATAAGTGGCTTCTTAGACTCAAATCCGAATGTTTAAGCACAGGCCCACAAAGCTCTACCTGTGATCTGGCCCCTGCTCACCTCTCTGACTAGATCTCCTGCAAGACTCTTAGATTTAACCCCAGGACCTTTGTACTTGCTGTTCCCTATGTCTGGAATGCTCTTTTATAGGTCTTGCTGGCTGGCTCCTTTTCATCATTCAAACATCTCTGCTGAAATGTTACTTAGGAAACTTTCTTGACCAACTTATGTCTCCTATCCTACCATTCTCCATTCTCAATCTCATTACCCTGTTATTGGCTTTTAGCACTGACCATTATCTGAATGTATAAAGTTTATTTATTTACTACCTATTGTATTGGAAATGGTGGTGTGTAAAGGTAAATTTCCTCATTGTTTCTTTGAATCTGAACACATGGGATGGAACCATATAGCTGAAGACCTTGACTTTCTATTAAGATGTTGTATTTTTTAGCTGGGCGTAGTAGTGCACGCCTGTAGTTCCAGCTACTTGGAAGGCTGAGGCAGAAGGATTGCCGGAGCCCAGCAGGTCGAGGCTGTAGTGGTCAGGAGCATGCAACTACACTCCAGTCTGGGTGACAGAGTGAGACTCCAACTCAAAAAAAAAAAAAAGAAGTTGTATTTTACTTGCGTTTCTGAGAGTCACACAAAATTTTAAGTAGGGCAGTGACCTTGTCAAATGTTTAATTGTTTAAAATGTTATAAAAATATAACCACTCCACCATTATGATCCTGTACTAATTTACTGAGACACTATTCATGTCAATTGGTTTAATTACATATAAAAATGCTAAATAAGTGAGCTGAATGACAGGAATAGAGAAGTCTATATTCTTATTTAGAATATAGATATAATATCTGAAATTAATTAGATAATTTTAATTAATTTTATAGAATTGTACAGTTGATCCCCAGTCTCCTTTGTTTCCCCTCCACTTCAGTGTAGGAGACACAGAAAATCAGATGTTATGTAACTTTAAAATTAAGGTCAATTTTAAAGGCCTATCAAGGCAGACTCTTCTACACACTCTGCAGTAACTCAGTACCGCCCATAACTTTCTGTCAAATTACTAGTGGATCCAGCTGTAGTGTAACCAGACTTTGGCTAATGGCTGTGCCCTAGGGATGGGTGATACTTTCAATCAACTTGGGAAAATAAGGATCTTTGGATCCTTCAGTTTAACCCCATTAGCCCTTATGGAATACCTACTGTGTGCCAGATACATTTAGCTGTTGGGACAAAAAAACCAAGGGATTTGGGGAAGGTACATTTCTTCCCTTTAAGGAGGATGAAATCTAATAGTTCTGAGTATGTAATAGTTAATTGCATAATTCTGTACAAAGACTAACAGATTATTTTTCTTTTTTTTTTTTTTGAGTTGGAGTCTCACTCTGTCGCCCAGACTGGAGTGCAGTGGCCGCTCCCGGCCACCGCAGCCTCGACCTGCTGGGCTCCGGCGATCCTTCCGCTTCAGCCTTCTGAGTAGCCGGAATTACAGATGCGCGCTACCACGCCCAGTTAATTTTTTGATTTATTGTAGAGATGAGAGAATTACTCAATTGGCCTTATAAGTATTTGCCATCCTTTGAAATGTTTGTGATTTCCCCCGCTTATTCTTCTCTGCTTTTTCATGGATTAAAAATACAACAAAATTATTTCTCATTTCTTTTCTAGTAAGATGGGTTACTCTTATTTTAAAAACACAACATTCCCTAAATAATTTTCAACATAAAGTATGTATAAATATAAAGTTTATTTAGCATAGTGTTTAGAAAAATAAGTTCACATCATTTCAGAAAACAAATAAAACACTTAATTGTCCAGGCATAAACCCCCATTACAGTACAACATACATACTTTAGATCTCTTTGGTTGGGTAATTAAGCACAGAAATGTTCTGGGACATGCTCTGTGTGCTATCACCTAACAGTGCAGTACAGACTCTGTTACCCCATCCCATGATATACATTCTGTATAGAGTGTCTCTTCGTGTAAGGCACAGTAAAACCATACTGAATATATAACTGGTTGCCTCTAAACATACAGTACATGCAACAAAAGAATAAAAATTTTTGAGAACCCTGAAAGTCAAGAGTCACATGCTATACAATTTTGATTAATAAAACATATGGTGGTAATATTAAATTAACATGAAATGTATCCATTAGATACAAAGTAATTGTTAAGCTCTATCATCTAAGTTTTAGGATGATTTTAAAACATGTTTTGTAAAATGTAATTGTTTCCCCCACAGCTTTCCTGAATTATTTTTATTATGAGATGATCTGCCAAAGCATTTTTAAAGAATGAAGAACTTGTGGCTACATACTAATGCACACTTTTCTAGTATGCGGCAGGGCAGCCTGCCACACATGCCCAATAATCCAACTTTTAACATGCGAGATACGAGGGCATATACAGGGAAATTTAAGGTCAGTGTGCAATTTAACTATGAATTTTTACCTATGGCGATAACATCTACCTGCCTTTCATAACGCAAGAAAGGCACTGAAATGTACACATTTCAAAGTCTTTTCATTACTATAAATATACATGAGATAAATAGCAGTACAACACAGGTGCTCTTGCTTGATTGAGGAACAAATGCACCTTCTTTTGAAACAATAGACTGTCCTTTACTAGATGTAACTAAGAATCAAATGCCAAATTCTGGCTGAAAGAGTGCATAGATAGGCTTACACCAGAAATTCCACAGCCAGCAGCAGGGGCTGGGTTTTGCAGGGAGTTATTTATCCCTATTCTGATCTTAAGGGATCGTTAGATGATCATTTGCAGCATCTTCAAGCATTGGTTTATGTAAAAGGGAAATTCTGCCACATGAACTCCAAGGGTTCTGAGTCTGGCCCTTGGTATTGCAAAAAACATTTGCAATTCTGTGCAAGGAGATCATGGGGTTCATCTTACTCCATTCACATATAGATGGGCTACATACTAACTGGCCCTTATTTTACTGAAAGAATAGAAAAGAACAATAAGTTCTTCACAATGTGCATTGATTCTTACCTGGTATATTGTGTAGCTACCTGGAGTAATCGTAGGGTTATAATTACATCATGTTGGGAGGATGAATGGGTTTCCTAGGTAAGTCTTAAGTTTTGTGCTATCTTTTCATAAGCAAGAAAAGAGGAAGAACTCTCAATAAAGAAGAGGCTTGTTATATTTTTGGGAAACATATAAAATTTTTCCAGTTATACATATATATCATATATAACTTTTAAAACCTTCCCATCTCGCTTATTGGATGGGTACTTTAAAATAATTAACAAACTCTTGATATTTGCAGCAATCAAGTGGAAAACACCATTTTCATGTAAACTACACTACAGAACCATGTAATTAATCTCAGTAACATGACCAGCACACACCCAAAGAAAAAACAAGCTGTATAAGTAGTGGTAGAGTGGAAAAGAACTCTAAAACACCTGACTTTGGAAAAAAAAAACAAATAAAAACATGTAGCTTCAGCAGTTTAGGAACATTCACCAATTCCATAAAAAACAGATGTAAGTTCTTTATCAAAATGATGGGAGAGGAAGTCTTCATCGGGTTCTTCATCTATGCCTGCAAGTTCTATTTCTACTAACAGCAAAAGTTAAGTCCTCTGTCCCTTATTCAACATGCAAGGCTGATTGACATGTAGAGATCTATAGTGGATCCTTTGTTCTGATCTTCAAAAAAGCAAGATATGGTAACATCTTTATGTTCAACAACTTTAAGTCATTTCTGAATTCTCACTCTTCTTGCTTTTTAGAGACCAGAGTACCTTAACTCACTACATAAATGCATTTGCATTGTTATAACTTGTGTTCAGAGTCCCGATAAAAACTATTAACCATAGCCACAACATTATCAAACAAGCTTCTTACAGAAACCCAAAATATTTGCTTTTAAAGAGGACATGATAATATAGTGCAAACAACAGTCACGTGCCATAGTGTAACAATTGATCAAAACATTTAGAACTAAGTTTCAACAGGACAGAATTTTGTTCAATGGAATTTACATTTTTTTTTTAGTTTAAAATGGTTTTTCATAGCTGACAGAATGGATATTGTATCTATAATTTAATTACTTTCATTGCAATGAAAAGCATCAACAATAGTTATTTATTCATCCATTTGCATGATAGACATTACATATAACATTTAGTGGAACTTAAGTTCTTCAGTTTTAAAGCAATTTTGTGGTGAAATTAACCCTGTTAGATAGTAGAAAAGAACCATCAGTGCTTCAGTTGACACTTCTGTACCTCGCTACTAATAAAAAGGCCACAAGGTAAAAAGGCACATAGAATTCTATAGAAAACACATTTAAATGAATCAGAGTTGCTAAATAAGAACAAAAATGTGAAAAAAAGTACCAAAATTCCAATATTGGGGGTTAGATTTCCTGTTTCAGTGTTATTAATATTGACCTTAATAGACTCCTGATAAAAATCATTATTTTTAAAATCCTACAAAAAGTAAAACTTTGTTGGAAACAACTATGTTCACTTCCTGTTCAAACAATAAAAATAAATTAAACAGTAAGAAAACATTTTTTTTTTCAGTTCATGGCGCCTGAAGTATAAGAGAAACATATACAGTATAAATAAAATTCACTGTAAATACTCAAATCCTGCCTAGAACTGATATATTTACATTCATACCAAAGTTTGTTTCAGAGTTTTTAGTGGAGTTTCAAACTTTCTCTGCCACACTGAACTATTAGCAATCACATTTGGAAATGTGTAGAGACTTAAACCAAGACTTTCTAAAAAAAAAAAGATGAAAAGTGTGTATTTGTGTGTGTGTGAGTGTATGCTACTTAACTTTAAAAATACACTCTCCTTATAATAGTTTGGAGTGCCATTTACATTTCTTAACCTTACCAATGCCCATGGAGTGAAAGTAAACAAAAACAATTGCGTTATTTCTAATGGTCTGCAGCTATTTTTAATTTCCTAAGTTAGGTGTATACATTTTTAATTTAAAAAACTATCAAGTTCCATTTTGACCTTAGAATTATATTGAGTCAACTAAATGATACACTTTGACTTGATACACTTCACCTTGTTCCTTTGTCTCCATCTATTTAAAAGAGAACATTATATGTGAACAAAAAGGCTGCAGTAATGCAGTTCTACTTCTGTATACTTAACTGTGATCTTCATGCAGATCAATCTAGAGTCTCTTGGATGCATTTACTTGCAAAAGTAGTGTTTTCCTTTAAATGAGAAAATGCTTTATGTCCTTGGGGCTTCATGGAAAGATTTGTTGCTGATGCCAAAAAGTGGGGGGGGGGGGGGGGAGATAAAGTTTATAAGTCTTGCATATCTTCATCCAGCTGGACAGTTTGGAGCTTGGCAAGCTCTTTTTTGTCTGTTTCCAGGTCTTCACAGACAGTCTCAACCATGCCATCTAGGACATACTTGGATTTAGAGTCCAGCATCATTAAGCTACTTGTTGCTTTGCTCTCGGAATTTGGTAAGAAATCTTCTTTCATGTTAGCTACTGATTGCAGAACCAAACGATGTTCTCTGACAAAATCCTGGTGTACTGCTGGGGAGGGGTGACCTACCTGGTCTTCAGCTGTGGGAACTATTTCCCCCAGGGCAGCCTGAGTCATAGGGACTGACAATAGGTCTTGACCAGTAATAAGGGAGCAGTTCTGAAGAGTTGCATAGTTAGTGTTGTTGACCGATGTCACAGTAGATTTGCTTGCCACGGGTGCAGACATTGACTGGCCATCGGCAATGTCAGGGTGTAGCTCGGTGGGATTTAATAGTGTAGGGGGAGTCAGGGAAAAACTGTGAGTTGGGGATACGTTAACTAATGAGGAAGCCAGTGGATGAAGGCTATTCCCCGAGATATTTTCAGAAGACAGGTTTGCATTTACTTGTGCATTCTGATTGACAGGCATCAACTGAGAAAATACCAGGCTCCTCTCCAAGGCTTCCTGTTTCACAGATCCTATAGTCTGGTCTGAATTAGGAACTGTGTATACCACTGCACTGGGAGCAAGAGAGCTCAAGAAAACCTTTCCCTGTTGAACTGTGGTGGACTCACTTGTAAATGTGCTCCCATCGGAAGTGCTTGAATTTACTGAAATATTGCCTAGAAAAAAATGAAGTACTGATTATCATTGATGGAATATCAATAGAAGAAAAATGCTACTTCTTTACACACATGATTTTTTTTTTCAGGGATAGTATCTTAAAGAAACAACACTTCTATATAATTTAGCCCAATCCTGGTTCAGAAAAATCTTGAGCACTTAAAGTTACAGAATCCCAGGCTCCACTCCTTGAAAGTCTGACTCAGTAAGTCCTAGAATAGCTGTATTTTTACCCCTCCAAGTAATTCTAATGACTAAGTGAGAGTAATAGGTATTGGTTTAAAAATCAAGTGTGAAAAAAGCTTTTTTCCCCCAAGTTCTGATTCCAGTCAAGTGTCTAGTTTATTATTACCAGTTTGCTATCTCTTAATTAGTTAATAGTTATTACAAGCTCTGCCAGTCAGAACTGGAAAACACAAATGCAAAATAAAATGCCTTTGTGCAGGACTGCTCAGTAACTGATGCAAAATATAAATGGAAATGCAGAAAATACCACATAAAATGAGTTACCCTGGGGCTTAAAAGTTAACCATATAAACCTGTACAGACAAGTTGCAACCTTTCATCACCAAACTAGTAATGTTTCACCAAACTATAAATAAAGTAATGTCAAGTCAAGAAAACATTCAAAGGTTTTTTTTAACCCCCTTTTGTTGTGTAAGTTCTGAATTTTCAATGCTGCAGTGATAGGAAGAATTAATGGTAACATTGAAATGTGCCTTTTAAAGTAAAGATTAACATAAAGGGCCAGAGCTAATGCTTCTCTAAAAGGTTTGTATCTTTTGAGGCTTTCACTATAATGGTCTGTAGAGACCAGAAGTAGAAAAAGAAATGTAAGTGGAAAGCTAAGAAGATGTTCAAATCAGATAATTCAGACAATGTAGATGAATTAGACCCCCCACCACCATCAAATAAAACCCTTTTCTTTCTGAGTCTTTAAGTGAACACAATGAGTAGATGGTAATTAGATGATTCAGGCCCTTCAAATCTTGCCAGTAAAGGAAAGATGAATTTGGGGGGAATTCTTTGATAGAAACCAGATGGACTGTTTACCCTGATCTTGAATTAGGGGTTCAGTAAACTCTCTAGTTTTTTGGGAAAGCAGCAATGTTAAAGGTAATTCACCTAAGACATTTCCCTTCTTGGATTATTAGAATAATTGTGACTATATTACCACCTATATTGACAAATAAGTGCCAGTGCCACAGGACTGTTTACATCTTCCATTTTAAGCACTCTATATGCAAAGGAATGTCTTTAAATGAAAAACAAAAAACAAAACAAAAAACAACTCACACACTGTATTTGAACTCTTAAAAAAATTTAACTGCCAGAAAGTATGCATCACAGAAATACTGGTGTTAAGATAAACATTCCTAAGTATGTTTGGGTTATTTCTTAACATAAATGTTTGTTTCAGACCATACAAATGAAAAAACTGCTTTTATTTGAAAACATCTGACTTCAACTTAAGTATGCTTTAAAATTTTTGTAGACTGCTGATTTGTAGCAAAAACAATCCCAAATAGATGTTTATTTGTGTGTGTGTGTGTTTGTGAGATTATATCCCAGTGTACATGTGAATAAAACTAGTTATTTTTTATAGAGTCATAAATAACATAATGCAATATTTTACCAATTGCTATTAAATATAAATAATAGTTGTATATTTGTAGAAATTATGAAATAAAAAATGAACATAAGGGCAACCCCTTCGGGTCCCCTCCCAATGTGAGAGCTTTTCTGTCCTCTCAATAAATCCTGCTTTCTAAAAAAAAAAGAGAAAAAAAATGAACATGAAATTTAAACTGAAAGAGGAAAAGCAGATGTGATCTACATTTTGATTTTTAAGTATAACTGCAATTGAATTGTAAATTGAACAATAATTTTAAAATCAGGGGAAAAAACCCAACTGAAAAATTATAGGTACAAAGTATAACTTTGTAATGATGATAAGAAAAAAAACCTTAGTTTCTCAGATTATGAAGTGAATAAAAGATGTAGATATTCTACTTTTCCACATAAATCCCAAATTTAGAAAGATAAACCTACCTTGTCTAGACATTTTAAAGAATGGCTCAGTGTCTGTTTTTGAGGAAGGCTGAATCCCCAAAATGCTTTGAAAACTGCAATATACAACTGCTATAAAGAGACGTTGCTTACTTGACCCATCTGGTAAACTTACCCTTCAACTCACAGACAGTCTAAGGATTGACAGCCCTGTCATTTGATCTTAGCTATTTTAAAGGAAAATGCTATTCTTATTCCCAGTGAATGTCCCATTTAAAAAATTAGCAATTAGCTCATAATAATTTCTGATGGTAGCATTTTTTCTAGATTACACGATGAAAAGTACTTTTGCTTTTCTCCTCTCCCAATGGATCTAACTCACATTTTCTGCTCAAATGTATTATTTTTAAAATGTTACCTATTGTTTGACAATTTTCCTAGAGAAAAGGGGGTTAGCTCCACATTTAGTTATTGTAAAACTAGGCACTTAGGCTTTCCTCATGGCTTTCATATTTTTGCCCTATGTTGGATAGTGACTTAGCTTTATTCTTTCCATAACCTGGAATAATAACTATATAGTATGCTGTAGGACTGTTGTGTCTTACCATCATTTTACCTAAAGATAAATGTACAAAATGAAATTTAGAACAATTTTTCCATTAATGTCCCCCATAAACTGAAGTAGATCATAATTGTGGAAATAAGAGTTGTGGATAAATTGATTGAGGGGGCACAACTATCTTATAGGAAGCTGATTTTCAAGGCCAACAATTACTTATTTTGCTTTTGTAAAAATCTGGACTTTTAGATTTGCCAACAAGAAGGCAAACATATATTACCATCTTCCACTCCTGAATTCAAGGGGTTATGCAAACTCCACTGTCAAATCCTAGTACCATTCCTATTTCTACAGAGAGAAAATGATACAGAGTAATCCAGACTTGCTAAAAGTCAGTAGAGAACTGGCATGTCAGCCTAAGGTTTCCTGAAGTTTATTTAAGTGATTTCTCTAGAAGATTACTGTTAATAAAGCCACAAATTTTTATAAAATAAGGCTTACTCTTGTCTTCATAAATAAACCCACACATTTAGGGAGTAAATATACATGCAGAATAGAAATCACATTCTTCTGGTTTCCTTTAGGTCTGTTAGTCTTAATCATAGGAGGAACATGATTCAAACCCAACTGATTCAGTCTTTTTAGCTTATTTTCTGGTCGAATAAATAATGCTTGGGTAAGTGTATGCATTATTACCAACTGCTAGACTAATTTTGTGTTCTTAGAAATTTTATTAATTTTTAATCTTAAAATGTCAAGCAGTGAGTTATTCTGTAAGCACTGATTGACTTATCATATTTCTATAATTGTAGAACTGGCAAGGTTTGCTCTGAACTGTATTTTTCCATTCAGCTGTTAGGAAAATAAAAACCCATCCTCATGATGCAAGGGAATCAAGGAAGCTGGATGGGTGTTGGGGAGGAGGAGAATCGTATCAAGGCAGCCAATAAGGTTCCTGCAAAGTAACATCAATATATAGTTCTCATCAGATGCATCATTTACAGCAACTGATCAACACATGTGCCGGTGCATTATAGTACCAAGTGAGACTTTTACCTTGTGACGCTGCCACTGACACTGGAGGCAGTTGCAGTGGAGAGAATCCAATGCTCCCATTAAGAAACTGGCCGTTTGCTCCTCCAGAATTGGGGATCTGGACAATGCCATACTGGTTAATTTGCACAGGTGTAGTAAAAGTCACGACAGAGCCCCCATCCTGGGAAGCCACTGTTTGAATGCCTTCTCTTTTCACCTCAGTGCTGGGTATCAGCCCTGGAAATGACACAGGGACACTGGGGCTGTAGGAGGTGGTGGCCACTGAGTTAGCCGCAGAACTCTGGAGGACTTTGAACTCCTTCACATCCTGGGAGGTAGACCCCAGAATGTCAGTCATGGATATACCATTGCTCACAATGCTTGATGACATTTTTGGTGGGTTCAGTGACACTGTCTGTGTATTTCCCACATTTAATCCATTAAGGATAACTCCACTGGGTCCCTGAATAAAAGAATTACCATTAAGGAAGACAGGTGAAGTACTTGCAGGTACCAAGCTTCCATTCAGCAAAACTCCAGGAGAGCTTAATATTTTAGTGTTTCCAATTTGTTGCATATATACTGGCTCCATATGACTAGAAAGGCTGAGGTTGGTGACGCCATCGGATGAACTAGAAAGTGGATGGGGAGACAAATCCTCATGTCCCTTGCTGGATTCATCTTCAGTGCTGGGATTGCCATCTGACTCACTGTATAGAGGGGAAAATCAAGACATTCAGAAAGTCAGGGGGATGATATTCTACATAGTGTCATTTGGTTGGAAAACCAGCTTTTAAAGCCATTGAAGGCAGTATTTAAGGAAAGCACAGCAGGACATCTGCTAGTCCTGTTTAAACTATGAGGCCTTTTAGTGGGTTCTGACTAGCCAGAGAATCTGGGCAGATGAACACTCAGATCCCAAATACTTTTAATAATAAATTCAGGGAAAGTCCAAAGATTTGAAAGATGTAAATTCAGCTAATAGGACTTACAGGAAACTAGTCTATTTGTTTTTATAGCATGTAAGTGCTATTCCTTGCTGTTAAATATGCTGCTACCTACACCTTATTAAATACTCATTACGGGTGGTCAGTCTTTCCTGTTTAGGAACTTTTCCCCCTCCCCTGAAACCAATTCAGATTAGTGTTATTTTGGAGGTAAATCAAACTGCCAAAGGAGCAGGAGGTGTGAAGTGTTTGACTTTTTTTGGTCAGTTAGTTAACAAGAGATCATTTTCTCACCTGCTCCCCAACTTCTACTCCACCAGACTGACACTCTCTCATTCAACCAAGTGGCTGTCCTTGTTGTAGGAAAAGGCACTTTCAACTCAAGAACAGTTATGTGCAGTCGCCTTTGAATCCAAAGGAAGCCATAGGGGCCTATTTAACATACACCATCCAGTGCCCTGGTGAGGTGGGAGGGAAAGGGTGTGGGTCACTCAGCGGCCTTTGACTATCAGACCCCTTCCCCATCGTCCTTAGCTCCTCTGTTCCGGGCAGGACTGTGTCTCTCAATATCTCGACTTGGGGGGAATATCAAATTGGGGCGGGGGGGGTAGGAGTGGTGAGGTTTTCCCATTTGGTCTGAGGTTGGGACGGGGAGTAGCACAGAGGCAGTTGGAAAGTGCGGCAGGACTTGGCCTAGCAGAGGATCCGACAGCCCTGCAGTACCCCGCGGTCGGTTCACTTTCATGCCAGAGGGGAGGGGATTACCCGGGCTTTGAGCTGCGGGGCCAGGAGCGCAGAAAGCGCTTTGATTTACGAGCTGAGGCTGAGCAGCGGTCGCCTTTTGCGAGGGTGACTCACCGGGGGCGCGGGTGGGAGGCAGATCCGGAGAGGGGCCTAAAGCAGGCAACTGGGCCGGGGGCGGGGGTGTGGAGTTGAGGGGGCCTGCAGAAGTCGGCGGAGTGTGGCGTGGCGGGGG